GTAGTGTAAGCAGTTTGTGTATTTTCTGTGCATAAAGAGGAGTATGGTGTGTGTCCCGGATAATTCGATTTCATTAGATTTTATGTTGCTTATTGTCCTCATTCCTTGTTAAAACGTAAAAGCGTTGCGAGAAACGTAAAAACGTCCGTCTACCAATGCGACATAAAATTGTGCATCGGTCCAGGAGCTTCAATAAATCCATAACATGAATTGTTTGTGTTTCGTTTCATTCCATTATGCTGTTTTTTTTTACGTTTTTTAGGAAGCAATAGCTACATCTCACGGAACTGATTAACTAGTCACCATGGCTAGGGTGCAATTTCAACTGGCATCATAAAAATGAAGGCTACTTTTGGCGCTTCTTTCAGTTATTTTTTTTTTTTTATAAGTCTCTAGAATTAGGAGAGCTGTATTCAGGCACTTGGAGGAATATGTGGGTGAAACAAAGATGCAACAGCGGACGTAATATCGTGTGATCGAAATGCAACCGCTTGGCTGTGGTCAGATCAGACCGTTGCCCTGCCCCGCAACAAGATGAACCGCCGTCTTCTCAGCATCATGTTTTCCAGTCTATTGAAACATTATATCTGCACCCGGGGTCCCATCCTGGCAGACCGCTGATGTACCGAGGACGGAGTTCACTCGGTCCTATCCGTTCGAACACACGACCATGTCAACCACACTGCATTGCGTGTCGTGGGCCACTTAGCTGACGAGACGGCGGTGCCTGCAAATGTCACTGGGAACTTTTCGAATGCGTGACAGCCGTGAAAATGCATCGGGGACATGCAAAGGCTGAGACGGGATCTCATTTCGTCTTGTGCAAACGATTATGAGGCAGTTTAACCGTATTCAACTGGTTGAGGTTCTCCCTTGTCTGTCGCGAGAATGCTTGTTTGTCTGTGGAAACTAGATTCCTTGCTTACGATAGGATCAGTAGATAAAATATCTAGTGCAAATGTGGCAATAAATGTAATACGAATTCGGGGGAATTTTCGAATTATGCATCTTATTAGTTTAAAACACTGGTAGGTCCTGGATATTATTTATGCGGTAATGTCATATAGAAGCATAATGAGCGATCCGTATCGGCCAATGCGCACCCCTAAACCCCACCAACTGCAGGCTGTGTCTTCCTAAGATCGCAAGAAGCCCGTTTGTCCCACCCACCCATCAAATAGAAGGTGACCGGATGCACCAGTGATACGAACCTGTAACAACCAGAATCCTTAGCCAACTGAGCCAGATCGGTAGGACACCGCCGTGGCCCCGTGCATCCTTTCCGCTGCGAGTTCCATGTAATCCGGTTCGAGGCTGGCTCTGGGCCAAAACCGGACGGTGATTCGTGGGCTGGCTGCTAGCGCTCGCCGCGTCAGCTGATGCCGAACAGAGTGCTGGTCATGTGTAAACACCGGCGGTCGCTGAGGGTATACACAGGTCGTACTTTTAGGTGGTCTTGACTCCTGAGCCGGTTTCACAACCGGATGAACGCTTCTGAGATCTCTTGAAACATGAAGTTTACCGTCACCAGAACTAAAGGTATAGACGGGGCTTAGCACTATGGAGGCGTCTACACATGGATCATTGAATCCCTTCTAAGGAAAAGGTACAATGCTGTCACGGAATGGGACTATACTGGCCCCGCTGGCGCCGTTACGGCACTGCACGGTGGGGAGCATGCTCAATGCTCATTTACCTTCACTCCACCGCTCGGGATAACCGGTATGCGGTACGTCCAATATGGTTGACGTGTGTTATCTTATCTCGGTGACCATCACCATCGCTATTCGGTGCCTGGGCTTTTCGAGGCCGCCATCAGGCCAGCTGGACCCTACACACCTGGTGACAATGATCAGCCAATAAAGGCAATCGGCGTCACCGCTCTCCTTATTAGGTAGGCCGAGTAAACACGGTGGTCATATGCAGGGCGAATCGGCTGATATGCAAGCATGGGCGCACAGTTGTGCTCGGACGCGGCGAGGGAAAGACGGATGGACGTTGGACAACGTCCTGCTGCATTAGACGGGAGGGGAGAGAGAGAGAGAGAGAGAGAGAGAGAGAGAGAGAGAGAGAGAGAGGGAGAGAGAGAGAGAGAGAGAGAGAGAGAGAGAGAGAGAGAGAGAGAGAGAGAGAGAGAGAGAGAGAGAGAGAGAGAGAGAGAGAGAGAGAGAGATCAAATAAGGCTCAAAGGTCAAATGTTAATAAATGGGACAGAAACAGCTGACAGGTCCACATTTAAGACCTCCGTCCCTAGCAACAGTGCCACTTTGTGATGCACCTCCTGCCAAGCCAGATTTCTCTGAATCTCTGCAGTTGACGCCTCTGTTGGAGGTGGGTGTTCTGGCACCTTCTCAATTCTCACAGCAGCTGATCACACAGAGCAATCCACCTCCCGCCACCCCCCCCCCCCCTCCCCCCCCCCTGCACGTGAAGCGACACACACACGTCACCACGGGAATCTGTCCCGGCTCCTCTGCCGAGCCAACAGGTGGGCGGGGCCAGCCAGGTGCCCGTCAGTTGCCAGACGACTGTCTCCGGCTGCCAGATCGGTCATCCGAGTCGGACGTGTCACCTGGGGGCTTCCGAAACTCGTAGCTCTGTCAGCCGCGGAGCTCGTGGTCGGCAGTTGGGGTTGTACTTACTCATATAGGGTCGATGTGGAGCAGCAGGGGAAGGGGTGAGCGCAGTGGGTGGGCGTGGGAGCAGTGAAGTGTTTGGATCGATTGCATATAACTACGGGATTTTTTAAGCCGAGCCCAAGTTGCGATATGTTGGTATTATTTTACATAGATATTATACCCAGAATGAACTTATCTACCTGTAGACCCGGATCTGTCTTTCTTCCCAACTAGACGGTCACCATTATTCGACGGAAATAGCTGCCTTCGGTGCGGGCTTTCGTGAGGTGGGGTGACCGTTTGCGCGGCTGGATGACCTGTTTCACGGGACGGGCTGAGTCGCGGCAGCGCACCATTTCGGCTGCTCAGACCATCTCCCCTCCAGAAAAAAAATCCTCATATCATACGCTCCTGAAATGGTAATGGTGCTAATAGACAGCAAGCTCCCAGCCCAACAAAGCCAAACAAAGCCTAGCTCTACTACGGCCGGTCGCCGCCTTGCTGGCTATTCCGGCCTACGAGTAAGTGCGGCACAGCATACCTGCAGGCGCGCGATGCCGCTGCCATCTATGGGCAGAACGGTAAGTTCATGTGATACGGCTGCGATTAGTACTGGTGCGTAGTGCGTATTCACATGGTTCTTGCTGTTATTGACGGAATTTTCTGTACCACCTGGCTAGTTGTTATTCCGTAGGCATATTCTGACTAAAAGGATGGTAAAGGGCATAGGCTTTACCAGGATGCCGTAGCTTTTGCTACAGGTTAGGTACCTACATTGGTTCACGTGACGATTAATATATACTATAAGCATACGCCCCCAGGCCTTGTCACGTGATACTGGAGCATGATCGGCTTCCGTGGGATGTGACCTTTTAGAGCATCTATTAATAACGGGCTATGGATCAATGTGCCGCTGGGAACACATACGCCCATGAAGATTATGGAAGCGGATCTATTGTTGGTGGGAATATCACAAATATCCTAATTTATGAGCGTAATTTAAATTTCCATAATTCATCGTTCATTAACTAAGGTATATACAAATACCTAACGTTGTATATCACCAAAAACAGAACCAATTGTAAATACAGATTAGCAGTAGGCTGATTTTTATGCATAGCCATAGGTAGGTATAACCCTAGTCCCTAGGTATATATGTACATAAATAGGTCAACGACATGCCAAGTAAACAACTAAGCAGTGCTTACCCACAACAGCAAGAAATGAGCGCATAATATAGGTAAAAGGCAGGCAGGTGCATGTTATGCAGATTTTGTAAAGGAAGCATTCGTGAAATTGAACAATAGGTAAGGGCTTTTTTATATTCCGACCACATGCCTCACTTGCAGAATGCATAAATCAAAGAGTAAAGGACTCGTTTGTGCTCTTGAATTTGTTATCCGAGGAGAAAAGGCTTGCAACCGACTCCGCAATGTGCTGCTTTTATGTTAGAGAAAATAAGACGACATCTTTGTTGCTGCACAATGAATTACTGCTGTTCGATTGATTCTTCGTAGCTTCCGCCCTCATGTCAAGTGCTAGCGGGGGCTGTCTTGATGAACATAGTGTAGTGTTGCATTCTGAGTTTTTTTTCCAGTCATTGTTCCAGTCACTTGATCGACAGTTGTATAATATACATGCGATTGCGGCCTAGTCCATATGAAAAATATATGTCCCTCTTCTATTGTCACATGGCTAGTCGTGTCACTTTAAGGGACAGGAAAACGGTTGAACCAATCCGTAACCCACTTGTAGCCGTCATATTCACGAACTAAGCATACGTTTAGCTTCGTTCCCGTTAACGGACGTTCCTCCAAAGGTTGTTCGTGAAAGGGGATAAAGAAAAGAAATAGCCGTGAATCCATGCGCCTGGATGGAACGAGAAGGGACAGAGCCGACAGGCAGTGGGGGGGGGGGGCAGCTTGCCCCCCCCCCCCCCCCCCTCAACTCTGGGGTCGTGGGGGCGGTGCCCCCACAACTTCGAAACGGAATACCGCACTTTTTTGCAAATGATCTCTTTGTTGTTGAAAAAGCCAAGGGACTAGATATGAGTGGCCTGAAACAAACCGGTGAGAAAACCAGATTTAGGGGTACCCTAGGTTGATCTCTATTATGGTGTGCCCCCCAGTCTGAAAGTAGTTCACGCGCCCCTGTTGATGAGCCTTTATTCCGCGCTCTGATTAGTAAGGACGGCACTCGACTCCCCTCAAAGTGCCTAGTCCGATCCTCCCCATCCATCACCCTCCTGCACCACCACCCTCCGTCGGACCGCCACCCCTCCCCGCCCTCCGCTGGCTCCCGGCGGCGGGCGCGCGCCGGCCGCTGTTGCCAGCCGCGTCGGAACCGACAGCGCCGTCGTCGGAACCGACGGCCGCCGTCGTCGGTGCCCGCGGCGGCGGCGGCGGCGGCGGGGCAGATTGCGCGTGCGGCCGCGGCCGGCAGTGGAGCCATCGATTGGGTGGACCAGTGCGGTGCGCTATGTCCTCTACGTCGCCGCGCTGGGGCCGCCGTGGCCAGGTGCGCGTCTCGGCCGGCGGCGCCGCCACAGCCACGCTGCCCGTGCCGGCAGCTGTGGCCGCCGTCGCCAGCGCCGCCGCCGCCGGAACCGCCAGGTAAGCGGACAGTTGGGGCCCGTTTGCCCCCCCCCCCCTCCAATGGCGTGCGCGTGCGGCGGGTTCCTTTGTGCCCCGGGGCCGGGCCGAGAGGTGACCCCGGGCCAGAGGTCGGAATCGATCGTGCGATGTTGTGCCGCGAGGACAGCTGTCCTGACCTTCAGTGTGACCCGGCCGTTTACCCTGAGGGACTCTTCGGTCGGGATGAGAGCGATGCTGGAACTGATTGAAGTTCACCGCTGCCTGAAATCAGATGGTAGGTACATACCTATGTCTGCATCATACAACATTAGATTGGATTCTACGCGTCATGGTTTTGCGCATCAGCGCCTTTAACATTTCGCTCTTGAAGTTTTCTTTGTTAACCGAGTAAAAAAGCGTTGAGCTGAGTCAAGTGACATCTTCGAGCTTAAATATAAGTGGCTCTCCGGAGCAACGTTTTATCAATTTATCAGGGATTGCGTAACCACTCATGCATTGCATAGTTCCGCCAGGCCATGTGAAATATCGAGGCAAAATGTGTTTTTGTTTAAACATGCACACACCCTTGGCATTTTGTCTGCGTATATTTATCGGAACTGATCCCCGTAAGGTCGCTCAGTGATCATCCGCTCACCAGCTGATCGGGGGCTGAACACAGCGTGTCCGATGCGTCGTGTGTCACGTGACCTGTGACGTCGCTCTATGGGAGGACGTCATTGCGTCATCTGAGGGCTCGGGCTCGGCGTGACGCTTGTCTTCGACGTGATGCGTCACAGCGAGCAGACTGTAACGGCCACTGACGGCCAGAGAGCCGGGGGAGACGTGGCACACGCGGCATTCAGCTGCTTTTCTGAAAGATGGATTACTAAAAGCCATCTAGAAAACAGACGAGCTTTGTGGTGGAGAGAGGAAACTTTATCCATCTGGGGCAGGACGGAAGCGAAGTTCAAAGAACTCTGTTGTTCAGTGTTAACAATAGGTAGGTATATCTGTTCTTGCTTTGGTTGGCTTAATTTTGCTTAGAAACTTCAATTCGAAGCGTAGATCACATCACTACATTAACATAAATAATTAGTGGACGGGCCCTCGATGCATTCGCCGAATGGTGCAAGCTAATGATTCGAGTGGTATTCCATTAACCTTTCCTGACCTTTCACTGGGCTGTAGGTGTCTGAACGAAGACAGGCGGAAGCTGATGTGCTCTTTACTAAAGATAATTAGCTGGTGCAATAAACCCCGTTAATGTCATTCGATTAAAACTTGTGGGCCAACAGAGGCATACGATCAGAAGAGATGGAAAATAAATTTCGATGTTCGCTATTCTCAGCTGATGCGCATGACAGACTTATTGGTCGATCAATGAACATCTGAATGGAAAAAGGGGCGCAAAAATATGCAAGTGAGCTTTGTGAATCAGAGCGGTATTGTATGAAAAACTTCGGTGAATGACTAAAAACTGCTGGCTGCCGGCATGCTTCACGCTCCGTCAAGTGTACTAAGTGCATAAAGCATATTGCATCCCTATAAGTGTTCCGAAACCGAAGCAAAAGCCTTACAAAAGAGCATGGACACGTCTGCGGGCTGAGCCACCAGAGCTGGTCAATCATATCCGCAAAGCCTCACAATTTCCTTATTCACTCCAGCCTGAGCGATGTATTGTATATGCATAACTTAGTATATAGGTATATACAGTACACAGTTCCACGTCCCTGCAAGGTTATTTCAGCATGAGGTACGTTTATCCAAAAAGTACCTACCATGTAGTTCCAGTATCACTCGCATCTTTCTGTAATATAAACTACCTATAGGAAGATGTATGACGAGAGTCATATCGTTCTAAAGTGCCGCATTTTTTATAATTGACTCTTCATTCGCAAAATAGTTCGCTCCTCTCTGAATGTCAGCAGTAGCTTTTTAGAGGGGGCAGCAGGACAGGAGCTATCGTACTTCGATGTGTGACCATTCGATTCAGGAAAATAAATAATCAGAATAGAAAATTCCTCAAGCTGTGATGCCATTTACAATACATACATATTTACAAAGAGATATTACGCTAAATGGTCTCGTCACCAAACGAAACCAGTAGGTAAAGAACTTAATGACTGAAAAGTATACAATAGGGAATCTAAAGTTCAGTCGATAGGTAAATATTGATGAGAAAATATTTCCCCGTGGCTGAATCAAAACTTCTGATATTTCTTTTTTAAGCGAAAACAGACCCACGTAAAGCGGTGGATGAATCAGTTACCGATCATTGGTGATTGGACAATAGAACAAGGTACTTTACGTATCGAATTTTAGCCCCAATCCCACAGTGGATGACCCAATCCCATGCCGTAATTAAATGGTCCTCTGAACTGCTGAATGACCCTTGAGCTACTGGGGAACCATCTGAGCTAAGCTGCTGAGAGGCGAGGTCCTATAACGCGTGGCTACGGGGATATATAGGTACCGATGTACCTCAACTCTGCTTTTAACTTTCGACTCTCATACCCTTCGTCTTTCTCAAACCTCTATCTCTACCACCTGGTTTGTAACTAACCGCCCCCTCCCCTCCTCCAGGATGAAGGACCCTCCGCGGCGCAACAAGTACTTCCGTAGTCGCTCGCCGGTGCACGAGCTGCTCTCGCCGAAAGGTGGCAGCACCGGCGAGCGCGCGGAACGCCTCAGCGACGACAAACGCTGGCGTATACAGATGATGATCGAGTACACGCCGATCCCCGAGAGTGGAGAACACGAGCCCGATCAGGAGCCGAAGGTGGGTCCGGCCGACTCCGTGTTGCCGGTGGGGAGTGGGGAGGGAGGGGAGGAAGAGGAGCCTGAAGACCGGGGGCGCCATCTGGTGGCCGCCAGCTGGCGCTGGGGTGCAGCGTGTTCTCAGAACCGGTGAATGGCGTGCGTGGCATGGTGAGTCTGTGAGCATGGGGATGACAGTTCTACAGGCAGCACATTCCTTCTGTGGTGGCCGTTTGAAGTCATTTCCACGGGTTTACATCTCGAAAGACGGGAGTAACCCAGGAGGAGCTCGCGGGCTCTCGCCTGCTGTTGTGGCAACGAATATTGGGGGTACTTTTGTGGTCAATGATTGTGGTTCTGAATTATATTCATCGGATCGATCTAGTCTCAGCACGGAGCAAAAAGTGCTGCCTCGCCTCTATCAGGTCGCCGATTTCGCCGGTCACAGGTCGGCCGAGATGAGCTCAGACGTGCTGAGCTGGCCCGCGGTCCGTGCTGACACGGTGACACGTCAGGGGCCATTTAGAGGTCGCCGAGGCGTTAGAGCCCGCGGGATATCGTGCTGGGTGTGGGTTTGTATGGAGCCGACGTTCTCTGGTCTGTTCTGATCTGGCTTGTAAACGTGGGCAACAAAGGGAAGGCAAATGGAACTATGATCACACTTAGCATGCTGTCTTTTGTGATCTAAATTAGGAGCAGGAAGACTCAGCCGCTAATGTCTGCATTGGTATCCTTTTGCTACGAGCTGATTGCGTCATTGGATCATTGCATATGCAGACGTTGCGCCAGCGTATTTCTATCAGCGCCATGTTCGATATTTCCCACTTATCAAACGCAAAGAAAGACTCTGTAGAGCGTTATACCAACCACCTTTGGAGCTAATCGGCTGTTCTTATCTTCCATTCCTGGGGCCGATAGCAGCAGTGGCTGTGCGCCAGCATTGTTCTGCAGTGTCGCTGTTCTACCCACGTGCATGGTGCTCTCTAAGCAGCGATCGCTTTCTGTCAGTGAATTCTGAGGCTCCCTCCACACCAATAGATCATAACATGGCCGACTTTCCACCCTGGCTGCACATGGTGAGTACGATGTGTTTGTTTTCGTGTTGGCGTTCCGTCGCGGTCGTCAGAATGTGACGCAACTCTAGACACGTGCTCGGTCCATGACATGACTGATATGTTTATGATATTTGAAAGACGTGCGTCACTAGAGTCAAACGCCAGCTCAAATGACGTACATTGCTGCAGGATGCCAGGCTCAACTGACGAGGGACAGCAAACGGGCTGTAGGTATTGCACTGTTTATAAAAAGGATACGCAATACGGCAAATTATATCGGCAGTTATATATTTGCATAATTTAGTTATACGTTAGAAGTATGGAGGACGTTGGGTTTTCTCCATATGCGTACATTAAAAATTTATTGCAATGAGTCATGAGTGATGTCTTATGGTCTCCATAGCTTAATCTCTGCAAGATGCAGGCAACTGACAACAAGAATCGATAGGTACCGTTATATCTAAGCACAGGCTCTACATTTAGGTACAATGATCACGTTTGTGTAAGTGTTACATAACATAATCAGTAGGGATAGTATGTAGGCATGTATTTAGGAGTGGTGTGATGTTCAAAATGTTATGTTATGGCTAATGGCTATTTATTTGAAAAGTTTGTTGCCATTCGCGTTCATCTAGGTAAGCGGCATTTTGTGTTTTTTTTTTCATACAAAATAAATAGATTATTGAATGCCAAACGGCCCCAAGATGCATCCAAGGCCAAGTCAATGAATGAAACCAGGTCACTTATTAATGCGTAGACCTCTCTTAACATGAAGATTGCCTACACGATGGTCTACCGCATATGGTCAACCCATACTGTTGTGCAAGGCATCAGTTATTATGTAAGGCCAACCCCGTTTCCTGTTCTACCAGTTGTATATGTATAGGTTTGACAGACTATCTGAGGAAGCACATCTCGGAGTCCCGGGACTTTGAAACAGAACAGACCCACCGCTCGAGTCCCTCAGGACCTGTCTGAGGCTTCTGTCCTCTTGTTTGTGACGTAACACGGCTCCACCACGGACCAACTTATAAGCCTGATCGGGGTACATGTTCTGCTCTGCCCGACTCACATACGGCACGAGACCTTTCTGACCGACTCACATATGGCACGAGACCTTAACCTTTGGCCAGGATCAGAGCACTGAACATTGAACGAGCAACGGTCAGAACGTTTTCTCGAATCCCCAAAGGTCTATAAATAATACTGATCGGATTGCCACGGCATCAGCAAAAAAGCAAACTCCTCCAACCAAATAACCCGAGTCCTTAGAACGCTAGGATCGGAATGTGATAGTGTCCAACATGCTGCAAGGGCTGTGTGGCGCACTCGTCTGCACTATAATGCTTTCAATCTCTTCACATACATGAATGCAGTCTGTGTGCACTTACATATACCTAACGACATCGCTGTCATTAGGCCAGAACGTATTGTCCGATGGCTCATCCGATACCGGTCCCAGCTCTCCTCATGACTTTACATCACGGTTATACGAATAAAGTAACAGCTGCAGCCGGGTTGTATTTTTAGCCACTCTCTATAGGTGACTAAAAATACCCGCCGTCGCGAAGGACCTGACCTCGTTGTCTATTCAGTGACCGTCTGGCGACGCTATCTCCTGGTATGCATACGCAAATTACGCGGGGCGAGCCGCCTGCCTCTCTCGACGGTATTCGTCTCAGGTCAGACTGCAACCAGACTGGAGATCTGCACCGACATCAGACAGTCTGCAGTCTCGGACTGCAGCTCACTCGTGATAGAAAATGCAAACCTAATGTGCCTTGCAAAATACTGAAACATGCAGGACCGAGATAGGGGTGTGGCAGACGATGCTTCACTGAATGCTGCGAGTTTTAATGCGCACGTTCAAAACACGACGATGACAGTGACGACTTTATTGTAGAAATTCAAATTTCATTGAATGATATTTAGGGACCGTCCAGTCTTGTTTCAAGGTGTCCAAAACCATCTGAGCTCATTTGAGTCACCATTCGAAATGTTTTTTTTTTTCATACAAGAGTCAAGAGGATCCGTGTCCTTCAACGGGCTTATTTTTTTTTCCTTAGATATGCTTCAGCTCCTTTTTCTCAATCCCACATAAATTGATTTGTTTTGGTCTTTTCCATTGTTATCGGATCGATTTCTATTTCAATTTTCATAATGCTCTGCTGAAGTACAGGTCTCGCGAGATTAAGCGGTAGGTTTTGCACTTCATTTCCGGTTATATCTCAGAAACTAATCGATCTACGATGAAGCCATTTTACACGATCATGGCCGGCTTGTTACCCAACAAGTCGATCGCATCTTCAACACTTAAAAGCTTAAGACGACGAAGATATAGCCTGAAGTACACTAAATTTTCTAGGTGCAAAACCTACCGCTAAAACCCGCGAGACCTGTACATTCACAAGCTGGTGGATGTCAATTGTCAATATTCAACTATGCGATTATGCAACCGGGGTAGCTTACACACACCGATTTGGGAGCTACTGCTTTGACCTTGGACTCAACGAGTCAAAGGTCAGGTCTGAGGTCAGTTTGGGTCACTGGCTGACCTGAAACCTTAGTCATATTGGTTGAACGTTACAGGCGAACAATTAATCCAATCAAGTTTAACTAACCCCGCGTTCGATGTCTCTCGGACGACGAAGATTCTACGTCGTCCAGCCAATCGCGTTCCATAACCGCAGCCGAGCCCCCGCTGACCTTGAACGGGATTGGCCCGACGGCGTAGAATCTTCGTCGTCCGAGAGACATCGAACGCACTACGCAGGGTAAGTAGTGGCGCTTATCACGTATGATGCAGCGGCAGCGGGACATTCAAATCGCTAGCTTGGCTTGTTGGCGTTGCCCAGGAAAGCTTATACGCTCCCTTGATTTTGATGAAAGAGCAGGTGCAGGTATTAGGTGTTTTCTAGTTTTCGACGCACCCAGTTTTTGTTTTCGCAGTCTGCTTTTCCTCTCGGTCTCGGGCTTTCCTCTACTCGAAGTCTTGGGCTTCCTGCTCGAGGTGCTGGGACGTTTAAATTTGATGACCCGGCACGCTGACACCTCAGCCGACAGCCATCACATATTTGAAAAACTTGCGGTCCTCAAGCACAGCTCTGCTCGAAGGCAGCGCGGAAGCTCTAAGTAGAAAATTCCGGAAGAAAACAGCCACCGGCATCCACGCTTTACCCCCCCCCCCCCCCATCTTGCCCTCATCTTCTCACCGGCGTGGCGTTCAAGGTCGTTTGAGGGTCGATGGCCACCCGATTTTCTTCCGACCTCCACAACAATTGCAATAAGGGTCAAAATGGGGCCCCTCAACCCGGCCGGTACGGCGCACGGTGTCCAGCTGTTACGTCACGTGACGTCACCGTATTATCGTGGCCGGCGCCGGCGGCGGTGGGCGGTCCGCCGGCGGCAGTGATCGGGATGAGTCCGGAAACCTCTCCCCTCCCGGTTGTGCAGGAATGTGAAGCTCGCGCTACTTTCGGTGGTTAATCTGCGGGCTGATTCGCCGCGGAAAGGAGAGCGGTGGCGGCAGAGCGCTCGCTGCACCGGTCGGGAGCGCCTCGCCGCGCGGTCGGCGGCGAGTGTGGCGCACCAGCCAAGGCCGGCCGCCGCGCCACGCGGCACGCTGCCGGCGGACTCAGTGGCGCCGCGCGGTCCGACTCGTGCGCGTCGTGGAGGGGTGCGGTCGTGTGTTGCGAGTGAATCTGGTGAAACTGTCGAAGCACGTGCCAAAGGAAGCTGGCTGGTGTCTGGTCTGTTCGTTGCCAGGACGGCAGTTGCGTGTGGTGTTTTTGTGGACCCAGCTGGCGCGCCGCTGCGGCGAGCGAAGCAGAAAACGCAGACGCGACTGCGTTACGCGCGGGATTGATCTGAGGGCGCTGAGATACTTGTGCTGATTGCTGATAAACCGGCGGAGTTTGCGGCTGAGTGGAGTGGAGTGGAGTGGAGTGACTGAACACGGAACTGTCATCTGACTGAGTGTCAGTGTTGTGCGTTGGTGCGGTGCTCTTGTTCCGGTAAGAACCGGATCAATCAGGCGCAGGGGCGGGCCAACTTTGATTCTGATACCTGGCACCTGCCTATGTTCCAAGACCCTATATTGGTCTTTGATCAGCAGCCTCTATCCCATGTCACTCTGAAGTCAGTGGAGGGAGTCAGTGGTCTCAGTCTCCTAGTGTGTCTTATTCTGATCTTTTTTAGATTTTATTGCAGTTTGAGTTGGGTACGTACCTTCCTTTATTTTCATTCCTTTAGCCAAAGTTGATTGTTGCAGGTTGCTGTTAAAGTTGGCCACGAAAATTGAAGGAGAATGAATGTAGGTCTAGGGACATTTGTGTTTGATATTTTTGTCATTGAAAGCTGTGAATATCCCTTATTTTTTTCTTCCGATTTTGTCGGCAGTGCCTTGACCTGTTTTGATCTGACCTGCCAAACTTAACTGCCCTCCCGTCCCCACTCACCAGTCACACACATCCGACGAGGAGGGGGCGGGGAGGGGTGATGGATAAATGGCGTGTTTGCACGAGGGGAAGGGGGTCACATGCTCTGTAAAGGTGTATAGAGTACTTGCTAGCACCTACAAATGTCAATTGTTCCACAGTCATTAGCTCCCCTTGCCCCGAAAATGGTCGATACTGGGGGAGGGGAAAGGGAAAGGCTGTCACTGCTGAAACATTGCATTGATTTGCCTGGAAGGGGGAGGGGAGGGGTTCAGGTGTGGGGAGTCGGGGACATTGCAGGGCCTCCTCTAAGGATTTTTCACTGGGTGGGCAAAATTGTTCGCCGCTCCCCTGCCCAAGGGCAGATCCAGTCACTTGTTTTGGGGTGATGGTTGCGACTGGGGGGGGGGGGGGTTAAGGCCTATGTCACTTTCACAGTCAACCAACTGTGCCATTTATAGTTTAACGTTTGTCGTGTGTGATATGGTATTTCGTGTGTATTTCACCTTATAGGTATGTCAATTGTTTACATTAGTGATATCAATAACGGAAAATCAGGATACCGATACCAAACCAAATGCCAACCAAAACCATGAAAAATACCGAAACCAAACCAACTTGGGAACATGAGGGAAATACCAACTTTTTACCGAATTCGTATCCTCTTATACATTAGCCGGATTCGTAATACCAACAAAATACCAACAACATTAGGATCAAAATACCAAATACCAAGTTGGTATCAGTTTGGTATCGGTATACCAAAAAGTTGGTATCCGATTGACATCTCTAGTCTACATACATTTAAAATTTTAAGAAGACTGCAAAAGTGCAGAGTTAAACTTACTATGATTGCTCCTTGAACCAGAAATCGAATAGGTAGGTGATGCTCGCTGCCTCTTTTTAGGAGGCATGGTCAGCTTACTCTAAGCGCGTCCTCTTGATCTAAATACGGCTTTTATTGACCTTAATCTACTTGTAATACATCCTTGGCCTTGTAGCGCGCTACCCTGCTGGCCCATGCCGGTCTTTGAGGGTCCCACACTGACCTCTGAGGCCCCATGCTGGCCTGTAAAGGCCCATATTAGCCTCTGAGGGCCCCGCACTGGATTCTGAAGACCCGATGCCGGCCTTTAACCATCCCCTGTATTGGTGTTTTTCCAGCCGCGAACGTAGGTACTCGTATAGGGGGGGGGGGGGGCGTTGGACCTCCCTTGCCGTTTCGCCCCTGATCGAGCTAGAGCTTCGCGGAAAAAAACAAGCGTGTTGCCCGTGACGAGAGGAAGCCGATGATACCCAATTTTAACCCTCGCCGGCACAGGCCATTGCGTCCTTCGGCGGCACGACCCGACCCCCTCGCGTTTGGCCCCTGATCAAGCTAGAGCTTCACGGAAAAAACGAGCGTGTTGCCCGTTACCAGAGGAAGCCGATGATACCCGATTTTAAGGTCCTAGGTCATCGAGTGACCTTCCAGGTCAGGTCAATGACCCGAAAACCGGGAAAATCGGGACCTGTTAGAAAGTCGTAAAGTGTGGCTGCTATGTGGTTTTCCGGGGTGCTGATCACGAATATCGTGTTAGTTTTGATCAGAGATGATGTTTTAAGCATGCCATTTAGACCAGGTCGGGTCAGGTCAGGTCAGGTCAACCGGTAGGGGTTGTGACTGGTATTCGTATTACGTGTCAACCGCCTCTGACAGCTTCGTAACATGTTACGAAGGCACCAAAACTACTTCGTAAATGTTCAAATGGTTGCTAAATTCGAATTCAGATAAAAAACTAGCCTAGAACATGAAAAAACTCGAAAAAGTGAACCGAGGTCACCCGAGGTCACCAAAGGTCAATGACGTGACCTGACCTTCAGGTGACCTTGACACCCACCCTTATGTATGGGAGCAACATCAAATCACATGTTTGAACGTTTGAAATCACGACAAGCTTGCAAACGCGCGGCTAATGCGAGCCGACATACGCCGAATCGCGATTTCGGCCAAACATGGTCACGGAAAAGGGGTCACAGGTCGCGAGTTATTCGCAAAAAATCGAGGGGGGTCCGTTCGACTCCCCCCCTATACGGGCGAGGGTTTCCCCCCGAGTTGCTGGGGGGGGGGGGGCGTTAAACGCCCCCACTTTTTTCGCTGGGCCATAGCAAAAAAAAAAAAAAAAAACGGTGCGCCGCAGGCACGCCAAATTTTGGGTGCCTCTAGGGAATTGTTTGACGTTTATTGTGACAAAATTTCAAAAAAATCGGTCGGAAATTTTTTGAGATATCGAGGTTTCAGTGACGTCATGATTTCTTGGTTTTCGACCAAAAACGTTATATGTTCAAAAAATCATATAAAATCACAGAATAGACATACAGACATGCCGTAAACGCCATTAGACTGCCAATACCATGAACAATCAAATGGCTATCTTCGATTATTGATTATCGTTCCGCATTTTCCAAAGTCTTGAACTGAATCTTGGCAATTTCTCATGACTACTTCACGACCATGATACATGTATTTCTTAATTTGAACTTTTTGACCCAAACACGTACACATATGATAAAATGAATGTCACCATCGTGTTCCACGCCCCAAATTACCCATAAAACATGTGTCACAGGCTGCGAATATCAGTTTTGATTTTCGGGGATATGTGTCTACCCGGTTGACCTGACCTTGACCCTGACCTATGCTTGACTGACCCCTACATGGAGCTGACACTTTTGTAGGCCTTATATGATGGATTGTGCACCGTTTTGACAGAGTTTATGACGGGAGGCGCCCATTGTGAAGTCCTGAAGTCCATGCTACTGAAAGTCCGATTTCAGGTGTTTGACCTGACCTTGACCCGACCTGTGACCTCAAAATTCAACTTAAAAGTACTCATCTGAAGCGTCTCGTCGCGTTCTTTCGTTTGTCGCCTCGTGCGTTTCGCTGCGCCTATTGGTTCTCGAGTTATCGGCTGGGGGCGTTTAACGCCCCCCCCCCCCCAGCAAACGGTGGGTAGCGAAATACCCCAGCAACTGCCGGGTTAAGGACCTGCATCGGCTCTGAGGGCTCAACTTGGCCTTTTCTGGACTCTGGGGTCCAATACCAGCCCAAGCCTGTCTGAAACAGACTCTTTCCGCAGTCAGGAAATCGCATGCGAGAGCCTATTCAAATACATGGAAGCACGCTCGCATCAATCGCACGCACCTCCCGGATGCGATTGATGCGGGAAGAATTACAATGTATTTGAATAGGTTCTCGCATGCGATTTCCTGAACGCGGAGTGGGTGCCACACTGACCCCTGAGGGTCCCATCCTTGCCTCAAGGACCCGCATTAGCCTTTGAGAGCCTAAGTCGGCCTCTGATGGCCTCAAACTGCCATTTTCAGGCCCTGTACTGGTCTCTGAGGGCCTTAAACTGGCCTCTGAGGGCACAAACCGACCTCTAAAGGTCCCACACCGGTTGCTGATGGCCCATTTTTTGCCTCTGAGATCCAAGACTGACCCTTTTGTGCCTCTGAGGGCCCCGTACTGGCTTCTGAAGGATCGATGCCGGTCTCTGAGGACCAATGTCAGTCTTATAAGGGCCTCACACTGATATCTGAGGCCCACATTTGCCTCTGATGGCTCCAAATTGAGGCCCTATTTAGTCCCCAATCAGCCTATAAGGTCTCTGATGGCCCTATTTTGTGGTCTGGCTGGGGACCCATGGCTTAGGGGAGAGTGGGGTAATTTGGCCGCTTTTTTTTAGAAAACGATATAACTTAAAATTGACGACACATTTCTGCATTTTCTCAACGCTGGCAGGTGTCGCATTCATTTTACTTTACTGGACAGTGAACTTGAAATGATAGAGTAATTACTTATATTGAAATTGTGACGTATTACAAAGGCTGGAAGGCGGCCAAATTGCCCCACTAGCAGGGTTATTTGGCCGGGGGTGTGGGGCAATTTGGCCGGTGCTAGTTTGCGGTCGGGATTTTCTGTTATATTGCGAGTCAGCTTCAGATTCAGCAATGACGTGTGTCCTATGACGCATTTGCCGCATTTTGGAGGTTGACTGAGGGGTCACAGGGGTCAAAATAGCCAAATTAGCGGCTCTAGATGCGATCACAGTTTTTTACGAATAACTTTTGAAGTAATCAAGCTAGGCCAAAACTTAGAGTACCATCGTAATTCTCTCGTCAGTCCGCATCGAAAGATATATGTGTTGACCTTGAGAAGTCAAGGTCAAAGGTTGACCTCAGGTCACGTTGCATCAGGTCGCTTGACCTCAAGGTTACGTGAGTTCAAGGTCATCATGCATATCATTCGATGCGCCTTGGCGAGCTGAACAGAATGAGACCATTTGTGCGGCTGTACCTTTTTTATGTAAGGATTTATTAGCAAAAAACGTTTGGTAACCTTTGATGACGTCACATGCTCTTACAGTTGACCAATCGAAAGTAAGGCATCGAAGAAGTCAAAGTTGGTCATGAATCATGTCATTAATGGTATAATTGACCATGAAAACTCGGCCGTCCCAGCATAGTGACCATGAGCGCACCGGCCAAGTTGCCCCGCTAGTCCCGGCCAAATTACCCCATATTGCCGTTCTGAAAATTTTTGTCTATAAAGTCATCACGGCTATACGGAATTAGAAAAAAATTGCTCTTGGAACCGCTGAACACCCCCAAGAATGGCGCTATAATGTCTGAATTCGTTTTTAGCCCAAACACTACATGCTATACAACTTTGTAAACAGAAGTAAAAGTTACCATTTTCTAATGAAATTAACGTTTTATTAATTTTGAATAAAACTACGAGGGGCAAAGTTTTGACATTTGTCCTCCAGTTATTTCTACCCATGACAAATGAATAGAGACTAGAGTTATTTCACTCACTTTTATTAAACATCGTACAGGTGGGGGCGGCCAATTTACACCACCGGCCAAATTACCCCACTCTCCCCTACACCTTTAGGCGTCACGCACTGGCCTCTGAGAGCCCACATCGGCCTCTGGGGTTCCATACGGGCCTTTGAGGCCGCTATGGCCATGGGCCTCTGTAAGCTAGCACCGCCCCCCCCCCCCTCCGAGGGTTGGCAAAGTTGCCAAGTTGCCCCCACCCCCAAACGCCAAGTCTGCTACCGCCCCTGCATTCAGATGCATCCATTTTAAAAAAATAACTTGCACTGCAGTGATTGGGGGCTGGGGCACTGGCTGCTAGCAAGTTTTTTTCCGGGAAACCGAAGTGGTAGTTCCTACCGGACGTCTGGCCGGACCTTTATTTTTGCATTTGCTTCTGGGTGGGCAAATCGACGCCACTGGGTGGGCAATTGTGGTGACTGGGTAGGTATTTGCCCACCCAGTGGGTATGTTAGAGGAGGCCCTGGGACATTGCCCCCTTTATTGACAAGTTCAGAATAGATGATTCAGCAGTTAGTGCAGGACGATGACGTTCCGTCAGAAGTGTTAGGACTTAGGGTATTTCATTTGTTATTTTTCAACCACCTGTTCGCTACATACAAACAAGCCAGCAGCGAGCAATTTGAGGTGGCTCACTGAAATAATTCACAGTAGCCTAGTACCGAGTTTGTTTTTGCCTCTGACGAATGTTGACATTTGCCTGCCCTGGGGGAGGCTTGCCGCACGTTATTTATTCATGCGTTTTCTTCCGGCTCCTCCTAAGGCTTCAAGCGAAATGCAGTTCTGGAACAAAATGGGTTTAGGGTGAATGCTATAGTAGCATATTTCGTGCCTGAAACGAGGCGACTTCATATGGGCCAAGCAGACACGCGGCAGTGGAAATTCAAGAATGCTGACGGTGCCGAATACAAATGGGCCTACAACGGAAAAGCGATAGCCCATGTGGATGTTTCTTGTCAGTTGCTAGCTGTTATTATGTTACGAATATCGCAGCTCTGGCTCGCCATTGACCATCAAAAGTTTATCAATATCTTTTTGGGGAGAAAATATAGCCTGGGGTATGGTGCTGGGAGTCAAGTCAGAGTTTCAATTGCGCGACAACACCGTCTTTCAAAGTGACCGGCCACTTTTGAGGGCTTCTCTGCCATTCCCCCGTCTGTTAAATCTTTTCTTGGCGTTAAGCCTCTAACAAACCGTCGCTGACCGGTCTAAAAGCGGGATGCCGTCGGATTAGAATCTGTCACGGTATCTGGGGGCAACATTTACACTCTAACCGATACACGTTTTCCTCATTCTTTGCCCTTGCCTTGCCGTAAAATTGTTCGACAGGTCTCTTTGTTCACGCCATTTATAGTAGTCATTTATGTCTTTTTTTTCCTTCAGTCATGTTCAGTCGGTTTGATAAGCAGCCTTTAGAAACTAACAAATCGGACGTGTTCCATTTGAAACGGACAACGGTTTGTTTCTTCTCCTTTTTTTGTCGTGCTATGGGGAAGACTAGACAATGGCCCTCACACTTCTGAGGCGAGTGAGTTGTATCCTTTATCACTAACTCATTGCTCCTCCACCATAGTTCCCTTGTGCCTCTCCCGCCCTGTTGGGACCGCCCCCCGTCCCTGCGCCTGCCACCGGTGTGTCTTCATCACCACCCACACCATCCAGGTATCGTCCGAGCTGCTCCCACGATGGACGCGCGCGGCCGCCGAGCGAGTCTGGACGCCGGAGGACCCAAGGAGCGGCGGCGCTCCAAATCTCCGAGCCGCCTGCTGCATAACCTGCTCGGCTCCTTCCACAAGAAGCTGCCGGAGATGGCCGTGGAGGCTACCGAGACGCCGGTGCTGAGTCTGGGCGCCGGCACGCGACGCGCCAGCACCACCGCCGCGTCTCCGTCGACGGTGCGTCGCGCGAGTTCGCCGGCGGCTCCGATCCACCGCGACCGACGCGTGTCGGCGCCGGACGCCGCGCTGCTGGCGTTACCGGGACGGCGCGAGCGGCGCCGATCGTCGCCGGACCCGCTGCGCGAGCTCGAGCAGCTGCAGGAGATGTTCGAGGAGGACCGCGCCGCCGACATCATGGCCGCCGCCGACTGCGGTGACGCCAACGGCGCGCCGCAGATGATCTCCAACGGGCGCGTGGTGCCGCAGCTCACCACCCACTGCTGGGAGCCGACACACGCGCCGCGGCTGAGAGTCACCACCACCACCTCGCTGCCGCTGGAGGGCACCTCGCCGCTCGGGGTGCCCGAGGTGCCCAGTATCTGCGTGACGGACGCGTCGCCGCAGGTGTCGCCGCGCGTGCAGCGGCGCTCCATTGATGACGGCGACTCTGGGTTCGCGCACCATATGCGCGGCTCGGCCAGCTTCCCTGACGATGTGGGAGAGGAAGGAGACCAGGAGTGGCTGCCGCCCGATGACGGATTCGAGGTGGGTGACCGGCCCGGCACGGTGGCCTGGCCAGGGGAGAGGCTGGACGCGGGCTGTGGGCTGAGGGAGGGACCGAAGATTGGGGTGGAGTTGTGGGTGAATTAAGAAATTGTGGTGTGCTCCACAGCTCGATGAATTGTACAGATTGGTAACCGCTTACTAACAGGTTAGACGGTGAAGGTTTTGGCAGAATTTCTGTTGCTGAAAATTTATTCTTGGTACACCAAATAATGGTTCGGTCGTACGCCTGTAGTTGATTCACGTGGTTCCCAGCCATCCACACATTATTCCAATAAGCCTTTTCCAATGAGCATTATTTGGTTCTTGTCATCGGCATCGACGGGTCGTCATTCATTCCGCTATTTTCTCCTGCGAAATGAAACGACGGCCGACGGCCATAAAGTTTGGCCCGTTTCAGCCATCAAACTCTTCCCAAACAAACAAACAAGCAATGTTCGATCCATTGCTGTTCAGCACAGCTGGTTGCTGCCTGCTGGACCGCTGCACCCGGTTATGCATTACGGCAGCAGCCATTTTCCCCAGCTCCGCGGCCGCTCGCGGCTGGGCCGTTGCCACAGTCGCCCTCCCATACCGACCCTCCCCGAGACCCGCCGAACTTGATTTCAGTCTGGATACGAGAGAGGCACAGACAGGAGCCCGCACTGGATCATTAATATTACATGGCCCTTGCATGTGTGGACACCGTGCATCGCTTGCGATGAGTGAGGACAAGACAATGTCACGAGCATTGTCACGTGCTTGTGCTTGGTGGGTACGCTGGTACCCGAGGTGGTGATATTCAAATTAAAGTTGGGTTTGTGATGTGATCGAGTTTCAAACATTGTGCAGTTCATAATCATGAAGCTAGTTAAGTGATGCTTTGAATTGTAAGTACAGGTGTTCTCCATCGATGGATGAGACAGAGTAATGCGGCTACCTTATGCTTGTTCCGGGACCTGATATTTTTTTTCGTTTGGGCTTTTTGTCCAAAATGGCTATAAATATTTTACATACCTACCGTGCGTGACCCGACCATTGCACTGGTGGTTGATCGGGAGCAGAATGTCACTCCCTCGTTATAATTTGCCTGCGAACCGTGACAGCTGCTTCTCCCTACCATAGCCTGATTTATGAGCTTTCCTGTCGGCTCATGAGGTGATTATCCCATGATGCCCACCAAATCCGGGTTGACGGGGACCTGGTGGGGTTACTGCCGGTACCAGGCCACGCCTATACCTACTCTCCATGCGCTGCACTAGCGCCTCTGTCAGAGTTTTTGAAACTCGTCAAGCCACCCACTCACCTAATGTAAGCGCGTCTGCGCCAGTCATGTGACCATGCAAAGTGGGCACTCGTCCTCGTGATTTTGGCTCCGGGTGAGCGGTATGGCCGACTGAACGCTCAGTTGAGCGCTCAAGAGAGTCGGCAGTCGTCCAGCGCTCGTAACGACAGGGGTCAGTGACGTTACAGTAGGGGTCAGTGATGTGATTAAGCTACGGCCTCTGCCAGTGAGACAGGTAAGTGCCCGGGCCACTGCCAGAACTACCAGTGTCAAGGTCTTTGGGTCCTTCAAAGGAGAGATTCATCCTAAAACCTTCACCGGCCCCGGTTATAACTCTACCTACCTAAGTTGTGCATATCTCAACATTGAACCTGCTCATAAATTTGTCTGTTTTCGCTGTCTGTTACTTCATATGTTGATCTGTGAACTTGCCACGGCATATTACCTAATCTATTTAATTTTATCAATGAGTCGTTACCAGCCGGACTGTTGGTTTGCTCTGTTATCGATAGTTGACCAATGACCCCGCTGATTAAGGTCGGTGCTAATGCCCGATTTGATGGTGGAAATTTAGCGGAATTGGTGGGCGTAAAACAGATACCGCTCCCTCTGTTTAGGCTGCCTGTATGGCGGCACCCAACACCCGTTATCCAGTGGCGACCTTTGCTTTTCGAACCCGATCCGGAGAAATCCAGTGGCGATAGTCTATTTTTAGATCCTGAAACCTGCTGCTGGTATCCTGAGTGGAATGGAATACTGTTTGCAATTCATCAATGCCGTTCAGATGGTCGACTCATGGCCTTTGAATGTGGTTTGGTGCTTTAGATCTGCCGAACCATAGTCCAGTTGCAGATTTCGATATTTGCATGCCTGGGTTCAGTCATTTGTCAACGGAATCTGAATTTCTGATGAAGTGAGCCGCTCATTTTTCTTGTGTTGCACGGTGAGCGCCTCAGGTTTGCATTGTCAACTGAATAGTCGACTTCCATGCATTCGGCTGTCGATGCCAATTTCTGATACTCTGTGGCCAAACATTCGCATGCTAAGCTTGAGGGCGGCTCCCGAGTTTCACGCTTTCTGTACGACTAATCAGCCTGTATTTCCGCGTCTCTAATACGTCCCGTCTGGTCTCCATTTCTGCACCTCTAGTAGTCAGCTGATCGCTGACTGTCCGTTTCTGCGGGAGGGTGAGCGCCCGGGCTGGGAACCGGTTTGGTGCGCAGCCGGCGCGGCCTCGGCCCGGCTCCGCGGACCTCGAGTAAGGGTGCGGTCTGTAAATGAGCCGGGCTTAGCACCTATAGTAGCCTGCGCGTGCAATCGGCGGTCTGACCGGCACGATTTTTACGGTTTGGAAGCTGTGCTAGTACACTACTTACATTGCCATATGGTTGATGAGATGCACTTTTATCGCAGAGCCACTGCACTTCGCTTTAAAGTTTTTAGCTCGTCGTTTTTGTGTGCGGGCTGGAGGGCTTGTAGAGGAGCGACGACTTAACTGATGAATTATGCCTGTTGAGCACAAGCATGATTCGTCAGTCTCCGTACATTTTTCTTTGACTAGTGAGTTCTTCAGTACAATACGTGCTTAGCTGTCGGGAAGCGTCAACGAATCCATTTGTCACTTCTTGATTCCACCAGGGAGAGCAAGAGTCTTCGAGTCTAATGCGAATAAATTGACCTATCAAAGTAGCTGCACAAACGGAAACAAACATTTGCTTTGTCCCATGTCCACTCCCAAGCTGCTTCGCTTGCAATATGCATGAGATGAATTGCTGTTGTATCGACACAGTTAAGATACCATCACTAGGAAGACTTTAACTACATTGTCAGCCAAGTGAAGTATCTTTTGCAACTCTGAATTGGATTAACTCTGTCAGGGAGTGATTGCCGAGCTGACTGTCCTACTGAACCGCCGAGCTACCGAGCTTCCTCCCTCCGGCGACGGCCTCTGTCGTTGCACAAAACGTGCCATACATGTGGCCAGGAGTCAGGTGTTCCGTTGAACCGTGACAAGGCATTGCTGCAGACTGGGACGGATCATGGCCGGTAATATATCGAGGCATGAGACAGTTTGTGGGGACACCATCTCGTGCCATGGCGATTAACGACTGCTATAGCATCACCCCACTGTGGTGTGGAACAGTATGACCTCGCGGTTCTCGATCGTTTGACCCCGTTTAGTTCTGGGTCCACAGGTGCGTACGTAAACGGATGGTAGGGTCAGGGGAGAGACATGTGGGTGGATATTGATTATTGTGTCAGGCGGGCGGACCCATTGACCCAGGCGATATCGGCTACCGTTTGGAGGACGGGCCGATGAGGATAAGCTTTTGGGACAGATACAGCCGTTTGTTACTAGGATGTGGCATGGTTCTCGCAGAAACTGCCAGAAAATGAATGGGTGCTGAGCTGTTACAGACCTCGCAAACCGGGTGACCGATCATTTGACCGTCACATACTGCGTCACAGACTGCGTGACGTCTGTGACCGGTCACATCCGAGGCTGCGTGACCGCGGTCAGCCGGCCAATGTGCGTCCCACGGTGCTTGGAATGTCCCCCGCAGATAATGGCTGGTAAACAACTGAGGGCGACGGCTGGCGGGCGTCCATCTAACCGGCTGATCGGGGTTCGATACTGGCAGCAGGCCAGCGGGCAGGTGCCAGAGCGCTGCACCTTGCGATCGAACAGTGGCCAGGGTCCTATCATTTAGTCATCATCCTATCCTATCAGGATCCTATCACCGAGTCCTGCATCACGGTCCCTGATGAGAATATAGTGTGTGGAAAGTCTGCCGTAAGTTTGAACCATTATTCAGACAAGTTTGTCGGACGGCCCCCTAATAGACACCTCTCGGTATTTATGTAGTACTAGTCAGTGATAAGGCGGTAAGTTTCATGCTTCCCAAGCTCTTAGGTCAAGGCTGTCAGAGGTGATAGTAGGTCTCCCTTGGGCCGTTGATTCTAGCTGTTCGCCGGCTGTCCCTCCAGGCGATCATATTCGACCCCGTTGTGCATGCTCTAAGGTTTAAAAGTGCGGCTGTGAAAGCTAGTGGAGATGGTCTTGCTCGCGGCAGTCATTAGAAATGATTACATCTGCACCCTGTAGCCGGCCGACCTATTTAGGTGTTGACCGATATGTGTCGAATGTAATAACTGGACCCCAATTCGCGTATTGTTGGCAAATCCTTGCGAGTGGGGCCGTTAAAGGCGCTGTGAACCAGCCACAGTAAATGTTTGCTCACTTTATGGTTACCGATAGCGCTATCGGACGACGACTTCGATTGGGAAATTGACCCACTTGAAAGCTTCTCATTCATTGAAATCTGTTTAATGTTCCCTCTGTTGCGTGCCCAGACCACTCGAGATAGAACAAACACGTGATACGTCATACACGTGTTATCATATCTACGGTTAGTGAGGATATGATCGTCCCCATGTTATCACGCACATTGGTGTCCCAATTTCGATCATCATTCTTGTTGGCTGCATCGTACTTTTGCCTGCCGACTGACTGCTTGATTGCATCGGAGACTGTTGAGATTGAGGCTGATGACTGAGCTGAGTGAGAAGTGAGGACTGCCGACTGACTACAAATAGCAGATGCGGGTAAATCCTGCTGCTCCCTTTCTGGTTATAAGTGTCAAGTGTCCGCCCTTCTCGGCCCTTGGTTAGCGTACCGTTTTCACGACATTATCAGCTCCGTTACCCCGACTCGTGC